AGGGGGACCTGGACAGGCTGGAGAGCTGGGCGGAGAGGAACCTCCTGAAGTTCCACAAAGGCAAGTGCAAGGTCCTGCACCTAGGTAGGAATAACCCCCTGCAGGCACCAGTACAGGCTGGGGGTTGACCTGCTGGAAAGTAGCTCTGCCAAGAGGGATCTGGGAGTGCTGGTGGACAACAAGTTAAGCGTGAGCCAGCAAGGTGCCCTTGTGGTCAGGAGGGCCAATGGTCTCCTGGGGTGCATTAGGCAGAGTGTTGCCAGCAGGTCGAGGGAGGTGATCCTGCCCCTCTCCTCAGCCCTGGAGAGGCCTCACCTGGAGTACTGTGTCCAGTTCTGGGCTCCCCAGTACAAGAGAGACATGGCACTGCTGGAGAGAGTCCAGCGGAGGGCTACAAAGATGATGAGGGGACTGGAGCACCTCTCCTATGAAGAAAGGCTGTGAGAGCTGGGCCTGATCAGCCTGGAGAAGAGAAGACTGAGAGGCGATCTCATCAACGTGTACAAGTATCTGAAGGGGGGAGTGTCAAGAGGATGAGGCCAGTCTCTTCTCCGTGGTGCCCAGTGACAGGACAAGAGGCAACGGGCACAAACTGAACCACAGGAAGTTCCATCTGAACCTGAGAAAAAACTTCTTCACTGTGAGGGTGACAGAGCACTGGCACAGGTTGCCCAGAGAGGTAGTGGAGTCTCCTTCGCTGGAGATATTCACAACCCGTCTGGATGTGATCCTGGGCAATGTGCTCTAGGTGACCCTGCTTGAGCAGGGAGGTTGGACTACATGATCTCCAGAGGTCCCTTCCAACCTAAACGATTCTGTGATTATATTGCATGAAATTTAGCATATCCAGTTTGGATAATTGAAGGATGAGGATATCCTAATAACTTGCATCTAAAGGACATGTCTGCAGTAAACAATGCTTATAGGTAGGAGGAAGATGAAATCCTGGAATAGAAAGCTGCATCTTTTTGATTGCACGTGCAAAAGGTAGGCATTCCCAGTTAAAGAGGCACTGATTTGTAAATTTCTACTCTTTGTGTTAACAGGAGGAATGAGTTAAGTAATTATCCTACCTGTTATCTTTTATGCTTCTCCTATTCTGGAACTGTCTGTCAGTCTAGATTGTGTAGAGTTTTCTTGAATGTGTGTGTGGGTTTTTTTGTTTTGTTTTTTAATTTCTGCTTTGAAGTTCACTGAATGCAGCACAAAATAAGACGTCTTTCTTTGGTGACAGATTAGGAGCAATATATGCAATGGTTTTGTGAAGTCTCCCAAATTGCATCCTCAGTTGAGATATTTGGTTTTTAGGGGTTCTGATCTAAGCACACTGGAGTATATAAGCTCCTACAGAAGTCAACAATATCTTTGGTTAGGCTGTTACTTACAACATTAATTCTGGATAATAGATTTGCCCATCTGGTAGGATAGCTTTCCCTCAGTCTTTCAAGCCACCCAAAAGATTTTGGGGGGATGGAGTTAATAAACAGATTGCATTCTATGATTGTGAAATAGTGCAGGCTTCACTCACTGGAGGCTGGGTCTGGTTTGGAAACTCAGTTTGACAGCCAGACTAAGCTTATTTTGCAGTAATTTAGGAGTAGCTTTTTATACTTGGCTGTGCAAGGGTCAGTTGTTACTAACGGAATAAA